ACACACTGGCACAAAGATACATACACACACTCAGATACACATGCATAAACACACTGACAGATACTAACACACATACACACAGATACACAGATTGACACACATATACGAACACAGTGAAACATCCACAACTTGACACACAGATAGATAGATAGATAGATAGATACACACACACAAGTCATAATGTTTATAGTTCCAGAGACCCTCCTGTTAGCTTACCTTTTTTTCTGAAGGAGGGTGGCTTGCTTGCTGGCTGAGGTTGGTGTGTGTGAACGTTGGCAGCAGCTCACTCCCCACTGCTCCCTCTCTCCCTCCAGTGCAGCGCTCTCTAAGTCTAGGAAGAAGTGACATGCTGTCACTTCCTCCCAGCACCCGATACTACAGAAGCCCAGTCATGGACTTAAAGGGCCACGGCGTCTGACCGGGCCCCTGTTCAGCAATACTCATCAGGTGGCTCTAAGTGCATGGGCTAACCAACAGGCAAATTGCGGCAGAACTAGGAATCATAAGTTAAAAGAACACTCCATGCACTATAACTACTACAGCCCTCTAAGTGGCCTGGTACCCCCCTCCTCAGAGTAAGGACTCCAACAGTTTGACATTTTACCTTGTGTCTGTCTGGCCCTGCTCTCTGAAAGCCACCTCTACAGTCAGAAACTCTGTAGAAGGTACACCCTGTACTATATCACCCCCCAAAATACAATAAAAACCCAGTCCAACCCCCAGGAAGACCCATAGTTTCAGGCATTGGTTCCATATCATGCAGACTATCTGAATACATAGACCGGTGCCTGCAACCAATAGTTCAAAACATACCGAGCTATTTACAAGATACAGGTAGCATACTAAGACACATCAATGAACTGAGTTGGAAAGACAGTTATTTTTTAATAACGGCAGACATAAGTTCCCTTTATACGATCATTGCACATGAAAGGGGCTGCGCTGCCACCAGACATTTTTTAGAACAAACACAGAAATTCCCACCAGAACACACTGATTTCATTATGGAAGGAATTCATCTAATCTTAACTAGCAACTACTTGTGGTATGATGGGGACTTTTATCTACAGGCCTGTGGAACAGCGATGGGAACGAGGTTCACAACCAGCTATGCCAATCTATTTATGGCCCATTGGCAGCTCCAGTTTATCCATCATGGTAATGGCTGGGTGGAGGGCCTCGTTACCTATCGCCGTTACATAGATGACCTATTTTTTTATTTGGGAGGGTACAGAGGAATCCCTGCAAGATTTATTTACCCAACTAAATAATAACAACTGGGGAATAATTTTAACTATACATTTTAGTAAATTGGAGGTAATTTTTTTTAGATTTAGATATTTTTATTAAAGACAACAAAATTAAAACAAGGACACATTTTAAAAAGGTTGATGTTAACAGTTTTATACACACCACCAGCTGTCACTTTGCACCCTGGCTCAATGCAATTCCAAAATCACAATTCATTATAATTAGAAGAAATTGCACAGAGGAGACTAAATTTATAGAATAAGCACTTATATTAAAAGACAAGCTGCTGGAAAAGGGGTATAAAGAAAAAAAACTAAATGACGAACTAAATCATGTCCAAAAAAAATAGAAAGGGAAACTCTATTATCCAAAAAGGAAGTAAATGAAGTCACACCAGGGTTTAACAATACCATACCAATTATCTGTAATTACAGCCAGGGCAATCAACAATTAAGGAAAATAATCAACAAACATTGTGCAATTTTAAGGGAAGACCCTACTTTATCAAGTATCCTGCCAGATAAACCAATGTTGATCTTTAGGGGTGCACCAAACATGAAAAGGCTTTTAGTTAAAAACCATTTTAAAAAAGAAAGCCGTATAAAACCTATTGACAGTAGAAATGTTTTTTTCGGTTGTGGCTTGTGTTTAGCATGCAGAACCACGAATAATAAAAAAAGATATATAAGAAAATTCAGTGACACACTAAACAATGAAGATTTCACCATAAAAAACGTCATCACCTGCAACTCAACTAATGTAATATATTTACTGGAATGCCCATGCAGCTTAAAATATATAGTCTGGAAGAGCTTGTTAAAAACATAAAGAAAGGATATATGGGACATAGTGTGTCCCACCATTTTAAAACCACACACAATAGTGACCGCAAAGGACTACAATTTTTAACTGGAGAGGAGGGGATTTTAATAAAACTTTAGGTTAGAACGAAATGAGGTGGATTTTCAACCTTGGGAAAACCCCATGGCCGAACATAGATTTTGAATTATGCCACTTCCTCTAATGTCCACCTTCCCCCCCCCCCCTTTTTTTATTCGATAACAACGGTTATTATTTTTTAACTTGACTATAAAATGTATTCATATTTTTAATTAAAAAATTTTTTTAACTTTTTTATTATCACTTTTAAATCTAGTCAAGTTCTTCCTCACAATGTTTTATGTGACCTGTATTTATGGTTTTTCATCATGAACATTTTTTTTCCTATTACAAAAAGCCATTGTTAACAATCTAACTATATATATGCATTTGATTCCTCCCATTTGCAATTTATTCAGTTATTTCTGCATTATATTCCCTCTGCATCCCTATCATTGGGATATACCATCAGATGTTTCCAATATATACATGCATTCTTTATGTTTTACATGCCAAATATGAGGCAATATATCTTGTTTCTCATCATATGTTTATTTTTTTTTCTCTCTCTCTTTCCTCTATTTTCCCCTTTGCCACCATGGGTTATGTTATTCACTGCATTTGAAGTATCACTAAATAATTATATATGCCATTTAGATAATATTCCTAGATACATATTATTTACCTATTTATTTATTCACTCTTTCCCACCTCCCTCCCTTCCTCGTCCCTTTTTTCCTTTTTCCCTCAAAGTGCCCACTTCCAAGATGGAGTGGTTACAGTCTGGCGCCGCCAGAGGGGTTTAGGCAGATGCACACTTCCGTGTGACGTCATCACGGCCATCCCGTTGTCCGGCACCAGCACCTCCCCCAGCTTACTTGGGAGGCGGCACTATTGAGGACTGGTGTGAGTGACAGGCATATTCGAGATGCCGCGTCATTTATGCCAGTTAGAGGAGGGAGGGTGGAAGGTGTATGACTTACACCTCTGACCACCAATGTATACACATCGGTGGGATTCTCTTTGCCGATGGTGGATGGCGGATCTGACGAACGGAGTTTTCCATGATGTCATTTCCTCCAACCACAAACCGGTTCCCATACCTCTGAGCGACCAATGACCAATTGTTTATATGTACAAGTATGGGTGGGAAAGCCAATTACCCAATAGGGGCTCCCCAACCACAGGTGTTCCTAGGTCATATAATCAATACAAGCAAATCCACACTCAGGATTGGCCAACTATACATCATGTGACTCTAAAGAGGAGGTGCCAAGAAAAAGACTGAACATTTAAAAGAAAAATATTCCTGAGGCTACATTACAGCTGACTGAGGAAGCTCATAGACGAGTGAAACGCATTTTGGCTGACTTTGGACTTTTATTTGGACTTTGTAAATTACATTTCCATTTTTTAATTTTTATTTAAACCCCACAATATTGTGTTTTAACTTGGAAGCAATAAATTTACTTTTTATACCATTTAAGTCCTTGAAACCTTCAGGAATCCTTTGTGGGAATTGCCATCCCAGAATTTGGCATACTGCTGAACACCCTCAGAGCCAGGTACTTAAGGCTCTTAACAAGGTGAGAACCATACCTATCATAAGTACATATACCGCAGTTTTGCACAGTACTACTCATCTGGTCTATTTCCTTCGATCCTGTTTGTCTGGAGGAATACCATCAAGGAAAGGGGTGTATTGCTGCCCAAAGAGCAATAAGGCCTATATTACGGAGCCAATAACATATAGGTTCCAGACCATGTGAGTGGTTCTAGTTATTCCACTTTCATAACTTAAAGGAACACTATAGTCACCTAAATTACTTTAGCTAAATAAAGCAGTTTTAGTGTATATTCCCCTCAATTTCACTGCTCAATTCACTGTCATTTAGGAGTTAACTCACTTTGTTTCTGTATATGCAGCCCTAGCCACACCTCCCCTGGCTATGATTGACAGAGCCTGCATGAAAAAAAAACTGGTTTCACTTTCAAACAGATGTAATTTACCTTAAATAATTGTATCTCAATCTCTAAATTGAACTTTAATCACATACAGGAGGCTCTTGCAGGGTCTAGCAAGCTATTAACATAGCAGGGGATAAGAAAATCTTAATTAAACAGAACTTGCAATAAAGAAAGCCTAAATAGGGCTCTCTTTACAGGAAGTGTTTATGGAAGGCTGTGCAAGTCACATGCAGGGAGGTGTGACTAGGGTTCATAAACAAAGGGATTTAACTCCTAAATGGCAGAGGATTGAGCATTGAGGCTGCAGGGGCATGTTCTATACACCAAAACTGCTTCATTAAGCTAAAGTTGTTCAGGTGACTATAGTGTCCCTTTAATAATATATAAGACCATCTGCACTATATATCTCTCTGTTTTTCTTTTACACGCATTTTCAAGTGTGTATCCTTAAGAGTGTTAATTCACAAATTGACGGGGTAAGTGAGCCCCTTTATCACTTTAAATGTATTCAGTGCTCCACTAATTGGTGTATATTGTATACAATACCTTTTAACATTGAAAACTGACTGTGGATATAAGGGTATTCCACTTTATGTGTTTGAGCTGCTTTTTTGTCTAGGCACTCTAGAGTATCACTCACTATCTCTGCAAATAGACTGTTTTTGTTTTTTAAACCAGGTGATAAGTAACACAGTTAGAAAAAGATTTGATTACTTACATGGTAGGATGTTGGTGATCTCCTGGCACCATAGCCACTACAAAACGCTGTAGTAGTTATGATGCTTGGAATGTTCCTCTAACATTACTTGTACATCTCATCAAGAAAGGGTATCAGTTTATAGTATTTGTTCTGCTCACTTTGCAAGTAACACGCATCCATATTAACACACATACGGCGTTGAGAATTTGTTTATTTTTATTCTATACAAAATGCTTTATTTACCATCATGCCTCCATTCAAATAATTATACAAATGCATACATTTAAAGTGTTTCAAACTATATTTCAGTTCACAGCTCAATCCATAGGAAAGTTGAATACAGAAAAGCAAAGCACCAACATAATGTCTTAGACACTATTTTAAACAAATAACACTTCATGTAACACTTTGAGTGCTAGGTGAGCAAGCTGCGTCACTCCTAGAACTGGCACCCAAAAGGTTAAATCCATCAGCAGAGACTGGAATTCTCATCATCCGACAGACTTACATTAGAAGGGTCTTCTTTATACAGTGGCACAGGGCAAAATCACCACTGTACAGCATTGTACAGAAAAGGGAAAATAAAAAAGAAAATAGAAAAAAAAATCTCATATTTACAATACATATACTTTACATAAATACAAGAACAACACTTACATAATATTATTTAACTTATATAACAGAGGTGTTGCCTAATCACTACATAGTATATAATGCAATGGGATTGGGAAAACATGAAGGGTGAAGAGACTGCATGTTGATTCCATATTGGGGTATTTAAAACATTAGTTAAAACATTTCCCCCTCCAAAATAAAAATATATCATTAATTTCATATATGTCCATATTTGTGCTGGTATTTGTCATTATTACAAAGAACACATGCTTTTGACTTCTTCATTAGTAACAACATTATATCTGAGAATTTCCAACATTTGTGGTTTTGAGAGTCAAATAAAGTGTCAAATTCAAATGACTGTCATTATCAGTATGTTTGTAATGTATATAATGAACAAGGGCTCTGATTTCTTCTTCTAAAAATGTGAAACACCGGAAGTGTAAATTACAAAATAATTCCTGAAAAAAACTTTGGTAAAATATATCTAATGAAATTAAAAAAATATCTCCATTTCCTGATGTTTAAAAAGAAAAGAAAAAATGTGTAAATATACAAGTCACTATTTGCATATACAGCATGGTTGGCTTATGATGTCATACTTGTATTTTAAGCATCTGTTTAACTCTTCGTCGAAACACGACAAATAAAAGAGTTTAAAACAAAAAGTATATTTATCTCCTCAAGTACAGAAAAAAAAGAAAGTTCTACTTAGGCTTAAAGCAAGCTGCAAAGTCATCAAAGATTTTAAAGCAAACCCCAAACAGAATTGAGATTTAATACAATGTATGTCAAGGATTATTTCAAAATCATGGTAGTTGTTTGCAAAGATTGGTTTTAAACATTGAATTTGTTTAAGGGAGTCTATCATTGGATAATTATTGTGCATGTTCTGTATAGATGTTTATTTGAGGTCTATTCACTTATCTAATCAGTAAATAGTTGCTATCATACAAACTGAACTGGACACAGTGAAAAAAAGCTTAACTAGTGATGTCCCGAACAGTTCGCCATGAACGGTTCGCTGCGGACTCATCATTGAGCAATCTTTGACCCTGTACCTCACAGTCAGACACATTCCAGCCAATCAGCAGCAGACCCTCCCTCCCAGACACTCCCACCTCCTGGACAGCATCCATTTTACATTCATTGTGAAGCTGCATTCTTAGTGAGCTGTCCAGGAGGTGGGAGGGTCTGGGAGAGAGGGTCTTCTGCTGATTGGCTGGAATGTGTCTGCTGACTGTGAGGTACAGGGTCAAAGTTTACTCAATGATGAGTCCATGGCGAACCGTTCGTGCCGAACCGTTCGCGAACCGTTCGGCGAACCGTTCGGGACATCACTAATCTTAACCCATTTCTCCTAAATAAATTAATCCAATCACTAAATCACAACTCATGTTTAGTGAGCTTTTTCTTTTTTTGCCCTCAACCTGTTAATTTAAAACATCTGCACTTCTCTCATTCTCATATTGTGCTCTTCTACCTCATAGGATCATCAAACTCAGGCACACGTGTATCATTAATTACACTAGCCACCTACATTGGCAATTTGTAGGGGAGCAAAGGGGGAAGAATGAACATGTTATCAACCCATCCACTGATGTACACAAATGAGCATTCTCTTCCCACACCCATCTATAATACCAATTTTGGCCATATCTTAGCCACTTTTAAATGATATCATAACCACTTTTAATTGATACTTTATTTATATTTAACTATGGATGTGGCCTGTTGTTGGTGTGCAATGAGTTGATCTCGGCCATGGAGACGGGGTAAGAATTACATGTTTATGTTCCCTAAATCATGAATATAAACAGTATGACGATAGGTTCCCTTTTATAGATAAAAAAATGTTTACAATGCTTACAAATCAAACTTGCAATGAATATTTTAACATGAGTAAACCCATTTTAAGACAAGTGGTCAGGTTTAAGGCTTAAAAAAATGTTCATCAAGTAAACCTGTATAATTTTCAGGTTATGTAACTAGTTAAATGGAGTTACTAAATGCTGAACAACAAATCACATAGCTTTATGAGTAGGTCACATTCACAACATTTTTAAACATGATTTATTATCCTTCATAGGGACAAGACAACAAACACTGGTAAAAACAAAACAAAAAAACACCTAAAGTAGGAGATCTACAATTTTTACAATGCTTAGCCAGCCTGAATTCTGCCAAAGCATCTTGGGAGGTGTAGTTCTCCAACATCTGAGGGATCTAGCTTTGGCCTCTTCAAATACATACAAATGTTTCTTTGAGGCAAAGGTCTGGAACATTACAATGACTATTTTTTTTGAAGGATTTACATTATCCAAATGCCCATTTTGTAAAAAAAACAAAACAAAAAGCAGCCAGACAAATTTGATATTTGATGCTATTTTTAAAGTCCAATTGACTTTACATTTTTTTTACTATATATTCTATCTTGATTTGTACATGTCAATGTGTTTTGCCTACCATTACCGTATGACTAGCCCCTTCCAAGTACAAGTTAAAAAAAAAGGGGATAGCAAATGCTTGGCTCTCCAACTATTGGTAAACTAAACTCCATTAATAATTCATCACATATGCTCATGGGAGCTGTAAATTGCCTACTGCTGATTAAGAAAATAGATACATTTCAATATTATTATAGCTTAGTTACTTGTGCTTTACCAAATCACATAAATAGTTATTTGATAACTTTGTAAGTCTAAAGTAAGTTTCAATATGTTGGAAAAGGTTTAATTTTTAATCACAACAAAAGTAATGGCGAATCAAGTAATATATCCTAATCTTACATTCTATAATGCAAAAAGCATTAATAGTACAAGAAAAGAAATGTCTTGATTTTACAATAATAAAAATGGTTTAATGTAATTGAACATACTAGGAAATTAACAGATATCAAGAAGTTTTTGTACCATAGGATATCATGTTTAAAATCCATATTAGTTTTAACATATATATGCTACGATATATAGAGAGGCAGTATTGCTTAAGTTAAATGAACACACCATGCGCCATAACCAATACAGCATGTGGTAGTGGTTATGGTACCAGGAATGCCCTGGCGCCCTCACAATATAAGTAGTCAAACTGTTTTAGAATGGTTTGACCTCTTAACTGGTGTCTGCTGAGCCAGGAGAGCCCTTTCCTTATGGCACATATTATCATTTTTCAGGAATATTTGAGTTTATGATGGTGTGCTATTTCATACGAGAGATATTTTTACTGATGCAAGAATTTACTTTTTAAATGTTAGATAATGCATATGTGCATCCAAAGAATTATAACTAAATGCTTATGTATACATATTTTGAAGCTACATTGATGGAATTAAAAAAAATTATCTAAAAACTTTGTAAGTGACAAATTTTTGGACAATGTAACTCCTCTGCAGTTAGTACACAGGACCCGAATTGCTCCAACTTTGCCTAATTGCTTTGAAGAATAAAGACAAATGTGCTTTTTTTTACATCCTTTTGTTGCTTTATATTGATAGCATATTTATCTGACTGTTCTGTATAGTAGTATTGAAGAATAATAGACAGGGATTAGATAGTCTACTTAACTGTATGCAGCTAGTGTGTGCTTCTGCATATGTTAATACCGAGATATTTTATGTTTTACATCTACACGACCTACCAGTGATCATCTAAGGTGATCAACGGAGATCACTTATTTTCTATATATCAATATGAATTGTTCTGTCACATGTTGACTACAACATTTTTTTTCACGTTACTGAATGAGGGGGAGTATGTGGAAATACAGGAATATTTTATGCATGTCATTTTGAAAAAAAAATGGCCTATATACTTTTTTTTTTATTTGTACAATTTTGTACAAGAATGTACCTAGTACGTGTGCCTCTGCACAAGCAGAATTCCATTTTGTCTGTTAGTTAATGATTTACTGAAAATGGAAACTGATATAACAATAAAAAGAGAGCCCTGTGCCGTCACTATAACCAAAGGCATTTTTTTTTATTGGTGGAATCACACTGACCAAGTTCCTTAGTCGTTATGCTAGTCACTAGAGTACATTAGTTCCTTGCAGGTTAAAATCCTAACCTACAAACCTACTTTTAAATCGTAAACATTAGGTTCAAAGTACTGATTTCAAATATTAAATTAAAATTGGAGTAATATCACACATGTACTACATACACACAACACTATGTGATTAGCACTGATTTTGAGATTAAGCTTGTTGGTGCCCGAGGAGATTCTACTCTGACCTAAAAGTCTCTGCCAATCTGATGTAAAAACAGGTTCCAGGAACTATACTCTCAGAGAAATATGTGTGACTGCACTCTTTACTCTGAATATTTTAAGCTATTTGTGTTTTAATACTAAGCATTAAAAATACAGTAAGCAACATGTACATATATTTTGGATAAAAATGATGAAATAATACAGATTTTGTTATTAATAAAACCAGTTGTAATGTCAGATTTCATATGTAGTATGCAAGAAAAGTGCTACATGACTAATAGGAGTTTAGATTTGAAAGGTCATTTTTGTTGCTAATACTAATTTTAAATAAATATTCTGTGGTATAGTGATTACTGCAACTGTGTTTGGGGAAAATAATCACAGTATAATACAATTTATCATTTTAACCCCTTAAGGACACATGACGTGTGACATGTCATGATTCCCTTTTATTCCAGAAGTTTGGTCGTTAAGGGGTTAAAGTTACTAATTTCAACATATCTGGTTAGTTTGTATGTTTTTTAATATTGTTTTGAGAATGTATTTAAATATTATTTAAATTTTTAGACATATATTGTACTCTATCAAACATGTTCTTTAGGTATGGTATGAAAATGTGCCTTTAACATAGTGACTGTGCTATCTCTCTTTTTAAGTGCCTTACAGGAGTATTCCTGTAATACAGCTAGGATCTTAAACTCTGTTATGTTAAAGCGATAGCGCCTGTTGTAAAGGCAATTTTTGTACCGAATGACACACAAAGACATTATCACGACCCTAACTTTTACCAATGTTTAAAAGACAACAGGTTTAAAAACATTTAATAAATTACATTGAATAATGGTTCTAGGTTTTTTTTTAAATGCCAACTAATGATACACAATATTGCAAATTTAATATTTATGATTTTTCTATTATCTCTTTCTGTAAAAATGTGTACTAATTGCTGTATTTCTTTAATTGTTAGTATTTATATTTTAAAATGCCTTCATGATAAGGTTATTTACAAAATAATAGTATAACATTTATGGAAACACAGGATGATTTGCTAATATATGAACGTAAGATAAAATTAATATAAGACAATTTGTATACAGATTGCTGTTTAAGGGAATTATGTATAAATATTCGATTTTCATTTATTCTGCCCTAATTTGAGAAATTTGGATATAGAAGCCAACAAAAGCATTCTGTAACTTGCTCGGGCAAATTAGAAGGACACATTTCACATTTGTAACAAATTGTAGTTATGGCACTATAAATAAAACTAAACACTCTGCTAACAGCTATTTATAAGGAATCTGCTGATATGAGCATTCCCAAAAATACAGCAGAATGTAAAAAAATACGTCTGTATGTAGGCATTATGCAAACATTTTTCAGTAAACAGAGTTGCCTGGCAACCACATAATCTACATTGACAGGTATTTCAAGCATTACAACAGCTTTTATGTATGCTCAATAAGCTTAGAACTCTTCCAGATAAGTTCCAATAAATTTTGAGGGTGGTTAAAAAAAGTCCAAATAATAGCTACGACAACTGAACTTTTTGAAAAGTTGTTGTAAATACATGTTATTTGTGATTTGGTAAACATATGTTTCGGTAATATCTGTATGATTCGGGTATGCTTTTATAATTTAATGCACATCTTGCAACAATACAAATTACCAGTCTGTATCATTGGTTGGGGCCTGTAGAGCAGGACAGAATCGACTAGCTGTATAGCATTCATGCATGGATTTGAAATTTTACATTTCCAAATTAAATGGGAATTATCAATAATTTATATTACACCAATAAAGAAAATATAGAAAAAAAAAATTACAGTGGAGGGCAAAATGCCACGTATACGTATGTTTTGCAGATACCACATAGTGCTTATTGCCATGTTTGCCAAAGGTGGTGATATACGTTAAAAATTCAAAACTGAAAATTTTACAGCAACTACATTAAACATAATATGTTTTCCAACCTTCAACTTTGACACTGAAAGTGTCAAAAGCAACCTGCATATGTGGTGTAACTGCACTTACTGTGTACAGCAGTGGTTCCCAAAACATAGATTGCCAGATGTTTTAAAACTACAACTTTCATGATGCCATGTAATTTTAAAGGCATGCAAAGCATCATGGGAGCTGTAGTTCTACAACATCTGGGGTGCTACCTATTAGGCACCCGTGGTGTACAGCAGTATGCTTACTTATAGACATTATTTTACATTCTTGTTGCATGTTTAGAAAGATGTGTTTATAAAAAATGCCATTAGGCTCTATACAAATACACATAAACGGGGTACTGGGATATTTGCATTTATCTAGTGATTTACTGTATGTGACAAAAAATATATTTTTGTTCTTGGCTTAAATAATTAGAGGGATGATGTATTATATCTAAAAGGTTTTATTCTCCTAATATTCCCATAAGAAACATGAATATGAACTAAACATTGTCTAAATTGCATCATTTTATTTGTTTTTAGATTATGGAACAGGAATCTGTATACAAAGCTACTGTTTTACTCAACATCTGTGTGCTAGCTATGCATCCCTTGTTTGAAATAAATGTTTGTTTTTAAATTAAAACAACGTGATAGTGATGGAGGTAAATACTCAACATATTTTATTTTGCAATAAATGGAATTCTCGGGTTTCTGAAGGGGGTTATTCACTAAAGGAACTGCGCAGAACTGGTAAGTTGGAATAAAAGATACATAGTGAACATTTTCCCATTGTACTACTTTGCCCTAAGTTCTACTATTGTTTTGCAATGCCCATGTGAGTTCATAAAAAAAATCACAATATAGTAAGCAATAGAAGAACACTACCCATATATATTCAAACTGTCATTCTGCATACAATTTGAACTGTTTAGAAAGGGATGGGCAACCTTCAGCACTCCAGATGTTGTGGACTAGATCCCCTGTAATGCTCTTACACCCATAATGCTGGCAAAGCATCATGGGAGGTGTAGTCCAAAACATTTGGAGTGCCAAAGGTTGCCTATGCCTGGTTTAGAACATACAGATCTGTTTATCTCCCCCGGTGCCTCAGCAAATGGATGAAACATTAGTATTTTACAATTTATCATACAACATGATACTATATAGTTTCTAGCTATTGTTGTCATTGTGCTTTTTTAAAATTTCCTTTTCTAACAATAAATACATAATGTAAGTTATCATTTTAGAATGACCTTACTAACGGATCAAGCCTTTGTGTGTCAATAATTTTTTAATTATTATTATTATTATTTTCCTTTTTAATTAATTTCAAACATAATTTAATGAAATGTAACTTATCTGGCACTATCTTTTGTAAATATATTTTTGGTAAAACTATTCACTTTTCCCATAATTTTGTGTACGTTTTGTGATTGAATTCCTCAGTTCTACATAAAGTACAAACACTAAAGTACTACCTACTTAATGAAAACATTATTTATCTTAAAAATTCTATCTACAACTGTTACCAATGGAATACAAAGTAAAACTGAGAAAATGAATAATTTGTATACAGTCCAATTCAGCACAAAGTGAAGCATCTTTTAACAGTAATATAAATCCATCCAAAATAAGCTACAAAATATAACAAATGTGTTGTTTTACATATGCTTAAAACAGGCTGCTAATATTTGCATCACATATAATAGTAAATGGATTCACATGTTGAGCCATACGTCCTGAAATGTATGCACCTCACCACTCTCGGGGCTGTAATATGTGCTATAGGCCAGGGTTGGACAAAGTGTTGCAGCTAGAGGATTATGGGATTTTAAGTACACTGACATTTGTAGAGTCACATGTTGAAATAAATAGGCAGGGTTATGATGTGATATCCATTAGTAAATATTAAACACATCAGTGCATTACTAAAATAGCCATATTGCTTCAGAATGTATCAATAATACACTTGTACTAATCCATATTGCATCTTGTGCTTTATAAGATAAAGTTGACACATTTTGTATGATATATTATTTTATGGTTAGTTATTTTCTATGAATTTATACAAAATAGATTTTGAAGCATGTAAATCACATGCATTCAAACAGACTCTTTGTAAATAATAGTGGACCTGTTTAATACTCTTCCCCCGCCCACCCCCCCTCCCCTCCCCCTCACATCGTATATTGCTTTTTTTTTTAAATTGAATACAGAGAGGCGGTAGAGATAATAAGAGTTCCTATAATATAAAGCAGATTGTTGTAAGAATATTGTAAGCCTCGTCTTCATATGTATTATGTAAACAGTGTGGGAGTGAAGCAAAATATTATATTGCCTCTTGTTTAAAAGCTGGTGAAAATTTCCCTTTGCCTGTTGTCAAAATTATGTGCTTTGTGGACTGTTTCCAAAGCATACTTGGTTCCCTAAAGACTCGATTCTGTAACGGACAAACAGAGGGAAAAATACAACGCTGTGCTCAACTTTATATTCACAAAAGTGTTTGTTTTTCTCCTGTGAACTATTTTATTTTAACCTTTTACATTATTTTAGAGAAGGGTTCTTCTAATATTAAAAGTTAGTTATTTTGTTGTGTTCTTTTTTAAAGGCCTCCTGTGATATGGTAAAAAAAACCACTGTTTAAGTATTTGATCTGTATAGTTAGTCCTCATAGGACATGTAATTATTGCTCCTTAGCAGCTAGTAATGCAACCATTATCGTTTGTGCTCTCTGATTGCTGTGTATTTCTCATGGAGATCCCCAATCATCTCCTCTTCACTAATGGAAATAATATTTTGTTTGTTTTACATATAATACTGAATGCATGTGCAATAATTGTGGCTCTAGAATTGAATACAAACAGGGACGGTTCTGGGAGAATAAGAAAAAACTCAACAAAAAACTTTAAGCGAGGCCAAGTAAACTCACAAACAGCATACATTACTTCACGTAAGATTCCGGCCTACATACTTTCACAAACATCAATGTAAATTAGAAACTTCAGATTATATAAAGCAGTGGTAAAGGGTTGTTTTTCCCACAACTCCTAGACTGATGGGAATAATGAGTGAGATCTAATAATCATCACAGTTATTGCAGAATCCCCACATATTGGATTTTCTTTTAGCTGATGAAAAATCGCCGCCAGCACTTGTTTATTTTCTGCAGTGTATCCTTAGTTCTTCTTTACTGCCACAATGCAAAAAGATTTTCCCTATGAAACAAAATAAAATGATATCACTGGAAATTTAGGAGATCTCCCAATGATACATTATTTCAAAATGAAGTTGAAAATCTTGAAAAATGTTCTGTCCAAATATAAGAGGAACGGTTTAAAACTATGCAGGTCAAGGCCTAGAAAAAGTGCCTGGTGCCTCAGAATGAAAGCCTCTTTCTCATGGTTGGAGGTACAGACATTTTCTGTGGGGTCCACACTCAGGGATTCTTTCTAGAAGCTAAAAGAAGCATGGTGCTAATACTTTGTCCTGGTTCATTCTTTCACTTTGGATACATTGGGAGCATTCCATGTTTTGTTTTTTTAACACTGTAGATCATATCCAGTCCTGCTGAAATTATTATGGAGAGGTCCAGCTCTACTATATTGATAGGTGAGGGACTCAGACAAGCATGTGCCTTCTGCGATGCAATGCAAGGTGATCTGAACGGGAAAAACTGCGGTCACAGTCTGCACATTTAAATGGCTTCACTCCCGTGTGTTTGCGATAATGTCGTGTCAGTTCATCTGAGCGTGCAAATTTCCATGTACAACCTTCCCATGTACACATGTACGGTTTTTCTCCTTTGAACACAAAAGGATAAATATATATGTTATTCATTTGAAAGATGAACATCACAGTCACATCAACTATAAACATGTATATATATTTAAAATAAAAATATGTAAAATATATTAAATATTTGTGCTGTGACCGACAATGGAGGTCAGCCAGTACTTTCCCACAGTGATTTGTGAGAAAACAAGAAAAGGTTAAAGTATTGTAAACTAAAATTCGGATTATGGATCACATGAATTTTAGAAAAAAAAAGGATCCTAAGTTAATGGGACTCTTCAAAATGTTAAAAATATCTTATGAAAAATCCAATATATCAACATAACACATTATTTTAATATTTTTATGCAAAACATTTCATGTTATGCCTATAGAAATAGTAATTGGTATGTGAATTTTAACTTGTAAATTACAACATTTTTTGAAAACAAAAAACCCAAATTGATTTAATAAAATAAAAAAATGTAGCCAAGTAGGGTAAGCAATTCAAATACTACTTGAAATCCAGCATAACAAAAATCACATAACAGAAAGGTTTCACAGATAAATATATTGACAAGTAAATGTCATTTTCTCTGTTAGTTTATAGACCAATACATGTATGAACAAATTTACATTAAAAAAACCAATAAATATTTACAGATCACTAAGTATTAATTTGAGATCTACAGAAAAATAAAAATGCAATAGTGTGATACAGTTAAAACATGTAATATATGCGCTAGCAGCATTGCACTCACAAGATGATGACTGTTGTATGTCACTTTAAGGTGCATTAACAGTCATCTTGTAAGTACCCTTCTGTTAGTGCATGTTTTAACTGTATCACACTATTGCAATTTTATTTTTCGGTTGATTTTCAGCTGTGTCCTCTATAATTGTTTGTGGTTATTTGCTGTCATAATGATACGTTCTGGGATATGCTTAGAGGAAGATCTTCCTTCCCCCCCCCCCCCCCCACACTTATTACTAGTTGGTGAAGGTGTGGTATATGACAGCATCCATTCCAAGTAGCATAAAACTTTTACTCCACTGGGTCAGGATATTGATTGTGAATTATATGTATTATTACATTGTTTACTAACTCACAAAGTACATAACTCAGAACAAGTAAGGTTGAACTGAAATAGAATTGACTGCATTCATACTGTTAGTAGACACCAATAACTGGGAGTGAAAGTATAGTTAAAGAATAACTGAAAAAAAGACTTTTAAACTTCCACAGGAAGTAAAATGGATATATCTATAGAGCAAAGTGCAAGTCCCAGAAAAATGGCCTGATATCACCATTTCGTTTGTCCATTTACAAAAGGAAGCATGCATTCAACCTACAAAAGCCCAGTTGAGATAAACTGAAGGGATAGTCCCTGAGGGTGTTCAGTTATTTATCACATGTTATTTAACCCATTAATGACTGTGGACATACTAGGTACGTCCTTCAAAAAACGGTCGCTAAGGACCGCAGGCGTACCTAGTACGTCCGCGGAAAATAGGAGCCCTGGACTTACCTTGACCGGCAAAATAAAATAAGAAAATGAAAAACACAAGCAAAAAAAAAAATGATAATAATAAATATATTTTTTCTACTTTTATTTTTTATCGTATTTTTTATTAGCATTATTTTTTTTAAATTTTATTTTTTGTGTTTTTCATTTTATTATTTTATTATTATTTTTTTGTTATACATGGGGCCCCATATTTATATTATTTATATATAATTATATGCAAACACTGTTTATTCTACGGTTTCCTTAATTGGTTAACTATGGAATAGTGTATTTACGACTTGCAGTCTGTTGAAACCATGTCATGTATTATATTGTCTAGTACTATACACTGTGTATTATGGATCCATTGCAAGGTGTGGTATTGTGTACATTAGTGCTTGTTTACAACCTTGGGTAATTTGAGGTTAATACCTCTTGGTCTAGATTAAATATATTCTGTGTATAGCATATATTTGCATGCACACAATACTGATATGATGTGCTGCAGGGGACTTTATCTGGCTGATAGATAAAGCTTACAAAAAGCCATTATGCAGTAGAACTATTTTCCCTTTGACTTATACTAAATTTGGCCACTTCGCTCTCCTGTAGTTGCTCTGTACTGCCGGAACATGTGATCACGTTCGTACAAAATGACGTCATTTGACCCATGTGCGTCATGACGTCATTAATATCCAAAAGTAGCCTCTGGCATTATACAGAAGATCCTACACATCATTACACCAACGGCAAGCACCTCCCTTTATCCAGCTGATCGTATTTAGGTTTATTAGTTTGAATTTATAGGGTATATAAGTGGGAACATAGATCAGTCAGTGAGAGGTCCCCCAGAGGAAGGCTTCAGAGCCCAAACGTTGGGGAAATGTTTAATTATTATTTTAGTTATTGTTTTAATCACTTTTTACATTGATTTTAATGTTACAAATGTTAGGTTCCACATAGTAGATACAATTTTATAATCACTGGTAGATATCACATTTGACCTTTGGTGTGCACTACCACCCTGGCAATGAAAGCATTACACAAACGTAACACAGCACCTTCCATTTTCAGAGACACTTGAGGCTGTGATTGGCAAGTAATTTTTTTTTTTTCAGTTAACATTGGGTTTAAATTCTTCCACTGGACCTTTTTTTGCATTGATCTTCATTAAGATCCAGATGGTGGTGAAAGTTTTGATTACTTGCATGGTTTATAAATTGCCCTTTATGGATGTCCTTCTACACCGCTAAATCGAACAGTGGTTGATTGCATCATAATAGTAAATATATTGCCAGTGAGCATACAGTATCAGACTGCTTGGCCTACAGATGTGATGGGCTTATGGGTTTACAGAGGTGAATTGCAACATTAAACACTGCAGCATGATCCCACAAAAACAGTTAATTTGATATTGCAAGATGAGGTAATTAGCTTTTAATCACAGCATAATTCCTGATATCCTCAACTGTTGACACAAATAGACAAATCCATCACATTTCTCAAATGTATGCATGTGTTCCATAGGTCAGCTCAGTAAGCCCCCCCAGCTAGTAATGTTTTTTTACTCCTCCACTCTTCACAGCTGCCCAGACAGTATTTTTCCCTGTAGATCTTTTTTACTTATTCAGTTCTACTATTCTCCATACGCCATGCCTCCCCCTCACATCTGTACCTTTACTCCTGCTTACCATTGTGTCCGATCACATAATTT